TGTGGCCCTGGGGGGGGTTTTTACGCAGGGGGGAAGGGGGGAGGCGCGGCCGGTTTTGTTTTGTTAACCCAAGAGGGGGGGGGGGGGGGGGGGGGGGGGGGTATTTGAGAAACAAGACAAAATTGCAAAAAAGAGAGAAAAAAAAAAAAAGAGAGAAGGGTAGAGGAGAATAATCGTCGTCAGCAGCGGCAAGGGGCGCGTATTATTTTTGTCATGGTTGTAGCGAACGCATTCTCAGCAGGTGGATTTCAAATATCAAACCAGCACCTTGACCATCTTGCTAGGGGTGTACGTGAAACAGCGAAAAGTGGAGTTTGGTGGGAGGGCGTGGTACAGAAGAGTGTTCAGAGACGTTGAAGGATGCGCGATTTTCGTCCACGCGCGGCCTCTTCAGATATTTGGTGCGTTGGCAGCGACCAGCAGCGGCTTGAAATTTTTCTACCTGTTGTAGATCTGTTGTGAAAAAGTACTCCGAGTTTTTTCTCTATAGGAAGAAAGGGCTACACTTTACTATCACTAGAGGTTAATCAATCAGCGTGGTTCCACCTTTCCCATCGCTGGAGCCTTTCACTGGTGCTGCGCGCACCCGACAATTTAGTCACTGGAATCGACAACAGCACGCACCACAAAACGAAAGACGACAAAAACAAAAACTGCCGTTAGCTGGTCAGCAGCAGCAGCATAATTTGCACCCCACACCTGTGTATCTTTTTTGCGGCTGCCACGGCAGAGTTTGCGACGCTCGGATCCCCGAACCGCGCTAGTTTCTAGCTAGGGCTACTGGCTACCATCGGCGGGCTCTTCCTCTCTCCAAGAACAGAAACGCAGCCCGCGTCGTGGCGCAAAAATATTACGAGAGCGAGCTACAGCCCTTGCTAGCTTTGGCTGCTGACGCTGCTGTGTGTCGGCACCAGTGGCAGAAAACGAAAGCCACACCACGACGGGCGGTGGGACATAAGCCACCACGCACGCGTCTTCATCAACCGATGTTCTAAATGCCGAGCCATGGGACAAACCACAACTGCAGACGCAGCCAACGGCACCCAACCTCAGCCAGCAGGGCTACGAGACACTTAAAAGCTTCACACCTGCTGTCCTCACCTGCAGGACCAACAACGCACAGACAGCGTCCCCGTCCGAATTTCGAAAAAAAGAGGAGAGAGACAAAAAAAGGAAGTGCCACCTCAGCAGCAGCAGCGCCGTCTTCCACCACGTCTCCGGGCTTGTTGGTGCCCCTGGGCGAGCGGACCGACGAGCGATCCTAGACGCCTAAGTTGGCTCAGGAAGACCAGCACACTGGCGCTAGACAGCACTCTCAATTGACAGCTGGAACAGGGTAGCACGTTGCGCGCCGATACGCCAGCAGCAGCAGCAGCAGCAGCAGCCAAAAACCCACGCCAAGCCGAAGCGGGGTTCGGGGACATGAGGGGGTTCCGCGATGAGATTTTGGTGGGGGGGCTAGGGACGAGTTTTGCTGGTGAAACTGATGATGATAATTCATGACATGGATCCTGTGCCAGTGCCTGCCTGGATCCATGTGTCGATTTGTGGGTGTCATGTCTCGTCTTGTGTCTCGTAGCGAAAAACCTTTATTTATGTGCCACCTTGGCTTTCCACGTGTGACAAGCATCAAGCATTGGCTGAGTACAGTAAGCTCATCGCAGCACTACGCGTGAGACCGACGCCTACAGCAGCAGTAGACTACAGGGTCGCAGAGGATTGATACATATTGATGAGCCGTGTTGTTTTGGCGGGGGGAGTCAAGCGACAGCAGTGCAGCAGAAGACGGTAACTTACATGTGCACACCATCCATACACATAACCGGTAGCAAGTCATGCTTCCTACGTCCCCCACACCACCCACCAACTACTCCATGATGACAGAATATAGATAGATAGGTAGGTGTGGTTGCGCGTGCCCGCCACCTGCCACACAGGTTGGTTGGTTATCTTCCCATACACAGGTGGCAGAGGGGTAAGGTTTGGCACCGATAACAACTTGCAACGGCTGGGATGAGGAGGTTGGGAAGACGGGATCGACCTTGAGCACACGCTGTTTGTCTATGCTGCAAGCCGCCATGCTGTATCTAGCATACATAGCTGTATGGAATATACGAGGTACCAACTCGTAGGGACGTGCAACCTCCCCACGCCCCAGGTTGGAAATCGGTGCCAACTTACCTGAATACCCACAACCCTGGCCTCTGGCCACCCGCAATATATGCATGCACACATAACATGCTGCGCATGCCGTAATATGAGTTTCCGAAATGATGAATTTTAATTTTGTGCAGCTCCGACAAGAAACCCATCTCGTCCGTATATTAGTTGTATAGGGTGGGGTGGCTGCCCGCGGGTTTTGGTGGTTGTTGTTGTTCTGTCCTCGCGAAAAACCGTTCCGTCCGGTCTCCGCTCAGTAACTTTTACTGCCCGTACTGGTCGAACTGACGCGGACGCCTTGCGGGGTCACAAGCCAACTACCCCCCAAAAGGGGCGCACCCAGAAATCAAAACTGATTTTACATACAGACTCTGTACGGTTAAACACCAACAACCAAGAGACTCGATTTTACAAAACCAGGACCGCTTTCATTCTTCTGTAGCGGCAGTACCCAAGTTAGTTGCTTGGTTTTGGTTACCGTGAACGGGCGCGATTGGAGCGCAAACGCCCATGGTGTCACTTCCTAGACTATACTAGATAGACTAATACCAACCGCGGAGATAGAAGTCGTCTCATTCGTCTCTGAAACAATCAATGACACACAAATCATGGTACGAATTGGTACGAATAAAAAGAAAGAAAGGTGAACAGCAGGATCCAAGATGGGTACAGCAGTATTCCCAGCTACTTCTATAAGTTAATTTCTGCCCTCTGCATGAAAACCAACAACGTGTTTGCCGTTTCCAATTTTGAAAATCTTCTTTGGCGTACCTATATGTACATGCGATCGGCATGACCTGGCCACAACAAACAGCCAGCAACGTACAACTCGGAGGACAAAACGACATTCCCTGCAGTGGTGGGTCCTTTTATGGAGGCCACCTACACAAAATCAATCATCAATGTGTCACGTCAACACTTTCGTTTCTAGCGTTAAAACTACAGTACTCTGGTGTGTGTATGCTTTCGCACGACGTGCGAATGAACATATTTTTAAAAATACGACAAACGGACCCCCGCTCGCTGAACTTCCACAGAACGCCCCTCAAAAGTATCGCGCCTACTTGAGAGTGGAGTAGCACACACGGGGGAATGACCTCCCTCGCGCCCGCCCCTTCATGCATACTCCGGGTATTTCCTACTATTTATTACTACGAAAATACAACAATACAAAACTCTCGGTCTCTCTGGCTCCGAACGAAAACTCGCAAACAAGAAGAGAGAAACACCGGTTCAACAAAACAGACAAGAACACAGGATATGTCATTAAACTTGGATGTGTGCTGCAAGTAACGTACAAGTAGAAATGGCAGGATGCACGGAAATTAAATAGCACTTCGCATTTAACTCGAAACGGATTACAACAACTTCGCATGATCAACGATCGACACCAACACACTCCCGAAACAACATGCGCAACCTACCCCCATCATGCATTCCACGCACGGCGGCCCTGTTCATGGCCACCCACTTCACGGCAATTCAAAACAAGCCGGCGAGTGTTGTTGCGCGATGCCCCCCTCCACCCCCCCCCCTTCTCGGTCGAACTCCCGTACGCCTGCGTTGCCCATCTTCTACCTGAGCCTCTTCTCAGATAGTTCTCAGCAGACGCATTCACGAAATTTTGATACGAGACAAGAACTCGTGAGGGAAGGAAAGTCTGCCCGCGCGCCACGAGCCATGTTTCACCATAAAATACGAAAGTCTACGACAAAACGGTTAGTAAAAATAAAAAAGTGGACGTGCTCCAAACACACTTCGTCCTTCATAGAGGCTACGTGGGCTTAAGATTGGCACAGGATACTGTTTTCGGTCTACTGTAGGTGCTTCAGAAATGAAAAAAAAAAAGAGCTCGTTCCAAGGTACGCAGCAATTCCTAAAAAACAACATGCAAACCTCGGACGCCCTCACAGACGCAAACAACGAGATGATGACAGGGAAAAAAAAACTGGGCAAGAAAAAAAAAAAAAAACTACAGGATACATCAAACACTCATCAAAACACAGGACAAGACTTTGCATTTTTATCACAAGTCAAAGATCCAGGGGAAAACAAACGGTCTCGCCGCTGTCAAAGCCCGGCTTGAGACAACAACCGCGTGTAAAAAAACATTAGAGTGCAGTACGTAAAAGTGAGAGAGAGAGAGAGAGAGAGAGAGAGAGACAGCGAGAGCCCGGCCCTCAGAACGAGCGGGGCCTCCCCGGCACGAAAAAAGTATCGCCTCTCAAGGGCGCCGGCTGTGTGTCCATTCACACTTAATTAAAATCCTACAAGAAATTCATCAGGTCAGATCGATATCATCCTCCTCCTCCTCTTCGTCGCTCTCTTCCGCGGCGCCCCCCCCCTCCCCACCTAGGGCCAACCCCTCCGCCTCTCTCCTGGCGGCCTCAATCATGGCCTCCAAGTCATCGTCACCACCACCCCCGCCCGTGCCTAGGCTGGCCTCTAGATCACCCAGTCCGAGGTCAACCTCGGCGTCGCCCGGTCCATCAGCAGACGTTTCTGGAATGATTGGGCATGCTTTGGGCGCGCCGGACGGCCACGCCGATCCCGCCGCCGCCGCCACCGGTGAACTCGCGGCCGCGGTGTCTGCCGCCGGACTTGCGGTAGGAGGCGACGGTTTCGCTTTACGGGGTCCTCCACCGAAAAGGGCGCCTCTGGCGGAGTCTTCATCGCTAGCTTGTGGCGATGCCTTCCCTGCTCCGTCGCTCTCTGTCCGCCAAGCCTGCTCAGAAGTACCCTTAGAGTTGGCGGGGCCGGGGGCACCGGAAGACGGGGAGGCAACGGCCGGTCGGGGCGGGGGCACGGGGGGGACACTAGCAGCTCCACCGCTACCACCATCATCACCACCACCACCACCACCGCCTAATGGCGGCGATGCAGCCGTCCTTGCCGCCGCCGGTGTCGCACCGCCGCCGCCGTATTTTTCCTTGAGGGCTTGAGCGCGGGCTTGCGCGGCGCCGATCGTTCCGGATGGCGTTTCTCGGGCGGGAATGATATCTTAAACAGGGCGTCCACGAACGGCGGGCGGGAGCGGGGGGGGGGGGAGAAGGCAACGCGCGCGGAACGGAGGTGCGGGCGGAGCGGGGGGCGCGCGGTACGCGTATCGTTCATCGGTTTATCGCTGTGTGAATACCGCGGAACTATTAATGCCGTGGTTGTACACGAACACCGTATCGAGAGACCGCCTCACAACACACACCTCGCAACACTTGAAACACACTTCGCAACACACACGCACACCTCGCAACACACTCGAACACAACTCCCAACACAACGGAAAAACACCTCGTTATAGACACAAAAAGCACACCTTCGTCTTCATCGTCTTCGTCGCCGGGCACGCGGAGCGACTTGGCGATGCGCACGATCGCGGTCTCCAGACGGTGCAGCGTCCGGTCTTTCTGCGCCTCCATCAGCAGGTCCGGCCTGCTGTCCTTGAAAGCTATAAGCAGTTCCTCCTCCACGCGGCACTCCTCCGACCGAAGGTATCTGGACGGCGATCACGGGGGGGGGGGTCACACCTAGGATTCATATAACATCGTCATGTCTGATGGTGTGGGTGGGTGGGAGGGTGTCGACATGCTTGTTAGTCAGGTGACCATTGACTAGGCCTACACAGCAGTCCACCCGTCCCCCCATGCGCCGAACGAAGTGCCATGGTACTGTTGTTGTAGCAACTTCGACGACACCTCGAGAAAATGTCAACAACTCACACTCAGACAAAGATTGTCGGTAAGTGCTAGGGTTCAGAGGTGCTCCAACAAGAAACAACTTCGCGTTTTGGGGGCCCCCCGGCCAATATCACGTTAGCATCAAGATGGCAACAAGGGAACAACAACCTGCGCCCCCCCCCCCCCTCGAGCTTGGGGAAAAGCGACTCCAGGGAAGAAGGGAATCAGATGGGAGAAGGTGGTAGAGAAGGTTTGGAAGGAGATAGGAGACGAGGAGGAGACGTTGGACACGGGGGGTTCAAGACGAAAGTCAAGGAGATGCTAGAAAGTAGGGAGGAGGCAACCCTTCGGAAGAAGGTACGAAGCGAAGACCACTTGGAATTATACGGGAAGTTGAAAGAAGGGATAGGGATGAAGACGTACTTGGACGGCCCCATGGACTACGCGAAAAAGCTGAAATTGCAATTTCGAGTAGGCGATCTGGACTTGCCAGAACGGAGGAAGAGGTATACCAGCCGTAGGAGAGAGGAAGAGGAGGATAGACACACATGTCCATGTGGCAGATCGGAGGAGAGTAGACCCCACATAGTTGGGGAGTGTGAGTTGTACAGGAAGGAAAGAGAGGATCTCGAGGAGGAAATGAGACAGAAAGGGTGTGAC